AGAATCCCCAAAATAGAACACTAATCAAAATGCATTAACCCCTTCACATCCGCCTCATTGAAAATTCTCTAGGAAGGACATTACTAAAGTCATCCTTTCATAGAAGCAGTATAGTCCTGCTTGCATAGAGTTTCCGGATTTGGCTGAAATCAACAGCCTCTGGTGCCAGAGATTTCCCATCCTTCTGGTTCCCAGTCAAGCAACCACCTTGACTATTCAGTCATTGACTCTTGAAAACGTGGCCATGTGATCCTCTCAGTTCCTTATTTTGTGAACATATTTAGAAATATCTATGGAAAATATTTGTCCTGGATTTTATCATTTCAGCGTTTTTTTTTAAGTCATGAAATAAAGTTTGACTCTCATGATACTGGGGCTTGTTCACACCATGTCCATACCAGAACAGTTTGTTCTCGAACTAAAAAAGCATCCCAATGTATCCCTATGGTATTTCTGGGCTCTGTTCACACCAGCGCAGTCCACTCTGGTCCAGACAAAAAAAAAAATACTGCTTGTCTTATTATCTCTGGTCTGGAATGCGCTGAAACACATGGAAATGCATACAAATGCACTGGACCGCATCTGAAAGTCCATTTTAAGCTAAAACCGCTACGGAATGCGGCAAAATCACAGCTAAAATGCACTGCACTGTATTTAGATATGTTTCAGATCTGGTCCATACATAGCATGAACATAGCCTTAAGGTGCCCATACACCTTACGACCATCGCAAGACTTTTGTCTTGCGATGGTCGTATGCTTATTGAAAGCTCGTACGATCTGCCCACCTTGGACGGGCAGATCGTACTTGCGATCATCCAAAGCCCGCCCCGCTGAGGGGCGGGCTTCCGATGACGGCAATGCAGAACGGGCAGTGTGCACGTGCGCACACCGGCCCGTTCCGCAGCTATCGGGTGAGCAGGCTAGAAACCCGCAGAGAATCGTACGATTCTCGGCGGGTTTTCGAACATGTTGGCTCGACAAAAGACGTGCGACCGTACAGTAGAAACAGTCGCACGTCTTAGTTCACACTGCTCGATTCTCGTACGATCGTGGGATTTCGCCCGATTCTCGTACGAGAATCGAGCAGTGTATGGGCACCTCACTTGGCACCACATCCTACCAGAAATAACAGTGCACAGCTTTTTCACGTTTTTTCTACAGCTTCCATTGCCTTTTCACCTCTCTATTGTCTACAGAAATGTATTAAAAAAATAATTCTGAATGCTTCTATTAGCATTGCAGAGCTCTGCTTCATGTCCTTGGTTAGACCCGTGAAGAGGAAACCTTAACCAGCCATGTTATGCACTAGCTTTGTATTGATGTTTTGAGGGTGCAAAGGCCTATTGGATAAAGAGCTTATCGTAATAATTAACTGTGGGTGGTGCTTCTTTTCTTACTCTGTTTATGGCCAGGATGCTGTTATAGTTTATTTGCTTATGTATCTTACTATTGGCTTCGAGGATAGTTGGTGCATTGTATAAAACAGAAATACCTTTTGAATTGTTTCCAGCTGGTCATCTGTGTGTTGAGTATGCAATTATTTATCCAATTTTCTCTTACTGATTGAGTGGACTCTAAAGTCAGAGGGCGCTTGACAAGTGAAGACACAACACAGAGCTTGGACTCCAGCCAGAACAAGGAGTTGGGGTTAGATCATAAGGTTAAGTGATAACAATGAGTATGTTGTTAAATACCGTGATCACTACTTCTGGCCTAGTAGCTGTGTACATGAATAAATAAGATTTAATTGCCACTGTTCTAGTTTTCAGCTAAGCAATGCAACTGCTGCCAAATACATTACATGGGAAGGAAAGGCTGTTACTAAAGCTTTGAGTTAAAATGGAAAGCTTAAATGTCAGTACCGCATATTTTCTTTTTTGGATCGCTTTTCTATGCGTTTCAATTGGTAACATTAACTATTCTATAATATACATATACACGTGCAAAATCTGTGTTTCTTTCCTACATGGTTTCTTCATATGACAGAATGTTGTCACCTGTATTGTTTTAGCAAATTATGGTTTAATAACATTTTGTAAATATTGAATTTATATTTTATAAACCAAAATGTAGAAAATCCACAAATTATTGGAATATTGGATTCAGCATCTAGATCATTTAAAGCTGAACTATGGGGTCAGGGCTTTTCCCCATAGTTCTCCTAAGGATCAAGGGAGAACACAAACTAGCGTTCTCCTGTGACGCAAAGGTCAGTATACCGCGAGCTACAGCTTGCGCTATTCTGAGACCGCCGCAGCCGGGACGGATACCGACATTGCTGTCGAGATCCACCCAGCTCTGGGATTGACAGCTGGCTCTGCCTATCTAGAGGCAGAGCGAGCTGTGCCTGTCCCCTCCCCGTCCGTTCAGTTATTCAGCGCTGGAGGATCGGACAGGGGAGGAATCCCTGCAGGGAGCCGAGAGTGATAGTCACGGCCCTCTGCAGGGATAGATCGAGAAGTGAGCGGGCGACGATATGTGTTCGCTCACTTCCCGATCTACTGAGCCGACCTGTGACAGTTTCATTGTCACAGGTCGGCTCAGATTATGAGGCTGAGTGAAAATCACTCGCCTCATAATTCTCCTTTTAAAGCTGAACTCTGGAAAAATACAAGGGGCATTTCAATTTTGACTTGAATCTTGGTGTGTTTTGTGCATTTCTTTCCTAGTTGCACATTGTGACATAGTTGTGAAGGTTGAATAAAGACAGGCCCCTCGAGCTCAACCTGTGTTCGTATGGGTATGAGAGAGTTGTTAAGATTACCTGTACCTCTTTATATCTTTGAAAAAGTATCTAGAAAGTTACGGAATGATTCCATACTCTCAGCTGAAATCACTATATCTGGAACAGAGTTCCACATTTTAACATCTCTCACCGTAAAGAATCCCTTTCACTGTTTAGGTTTAAACCTTTTCTCCTCCGTTTTAGATAGTGGTCTCTTGTATTCTTCACTGAACTAACCGTAAACTGTTTATTACTTATTTTCCCATCACCATTAAACAATTTGTAGATTAATATCATGTCCCCTCTCAGGCTTCTCTTTTTAAGAGTGTACAAATTTAATGCATGCAGTCTTTCCTCATAGCTCAGGTCCTCTAACCACTTTATCTATGTTGACCTTCTCTGGACTCTCTCCAGCTCAAGGACATCCTTTCTGTTGATCGGTGACCAAAACTGAGCTGCATACTCAAGATGTGACTGGACCAGTGTTTTGTACCGGGGTAGAATTATGGATTTGTCTTTAGATTACATTCTGTTTTTTTATGCAGGCTTGTACCCTGCTTGCCTTATTCCCTGCTGCCTGGCATTGCATGCTGATACTATGACTCTTGTCCACTAGGACTCTCAAATCTTTTTCACCTCTGATTCCCCCAGTGGGATGCCCATTAATGAATTATTGTTCAGATCTGTGCAGTAAAACAGTGTGAAACTTTGCCTCTGTGCAGCAGCTTCCTGTAGTAAAGACCAGTCACTGCAGGTCTCTCTCCATGTGCAGGGTGACTGGTCTTGTATCCACACCCTCCTGCAGTTTTCTCCAGGCAGCTTGTAGTGGGTGGAGGCTTCATTGGTCCCTCCCATAGCACTGCTCCCTGCACAGGCTATGTGCAGCGCAGTAATTACAAGGTTACAACTGGGTTCACAAATGCATTTATATCCTTTGTGGCTATGGAGGAATCTATGTTAATACATTTTTGTGGCCAGAGTTTAGCTTTGAGTAGAAGTCTTACACATGTCCATGTGCAGCTTACACCTATTCCATCTTTGCCATGCAGACAAATTTGTCTCTAGTTTTTCTGTTGCATCTGTGCTTGGATAGGACTAGCAGTCTCTGGATTATTTCATCCCATGTACAGCAACATATTTGTGACATTCTATAAATGGCATTACAAATAACGCCTGTATCTCACAATATAGGTTTGTGGCTCTAAACCACAATGTGGATACTTGAAAAGCAGAGTGTTTATTATAATTCTGCAGTTTTTATTTACAATTTAAATAGTTAAAGGAAATCTTGAGTCATTGTTGATTTAAATACATTGTATATCTGAACTCAGTCAGCTCAAATGTGTACAATTTTTCAGTGTATGTGTAAAAGATCAGCTTTATGTACAGTAAGGTTACCAATTGTTTTTGTTTTTATGTATGTTTTGTAAATCTGTATGTACATGGGTCAGCTTTATCTACTCGCCTACATATGCAGGCTCTGCTTCCTGATTTTCAGTGTCACACAGTAGTTGTGCTACTTCTCACAATGCATGAGTCAGCCATGGCACTGAAAGCAATGCCCTCCCTGTGTGGCTTTGTCTGAGCACGTATTAGGCAGGGAAACTGAATGAGGCTCAGTTAAATGTAGAGCTCCCTTTAGTGGTTAATCCACAAATACAAGATTTAATTCAATAACAAAGTATTAAAAGACCAAGCATGAAAAAATTTGAGTTGCATTAAAAATGTATTTGACGGTAAAAACTGCAATCATTTAACATGTGGTCATTAGAAATACTCTGGGGGGGGAATGGTATGAAACCTGGAACAGACAGAGTCTGGAGCAGTTGCACATGGCAACCAAGCAGCTTCTCTCCTCTCATTTTGAAAGCTTAACTGAACAAACTGAAGAGAGAAGCGGTTTGCTTACTGTTGGCAACTGCTCCAGATTCTGTCTGCTCCAGTTTTGTTAAATTCCCCCCACAGTCCATTCCCCTTAATATGGGTCTTGGATCTCCTCTCTCACTCATCTTGACTGGCCAGCCTTGGTATCACACTAACATGATCACACGCCATGAAAGGAACCCTGAGTCTGGAGATGGGAAGGCTGAAAGAGACAAGTTACCCACTCTTAGATCTTGTCAAGAAAATTTCCACCTTTTTCATCTGGAAGTTCGGTTGTAGGCGTATATATACAAATAAATATAAATCTTTGTGCTATAAATATATATTTTTTAAATTGCAATAATTCAGTATTTAACTAACTCAAGCATATTTCTTTTGTCTTTTTCTAGGATGACAGTGATGGTATCCCATGGTCAGAGGAAAGGGTGGTGCGCAAGGTGCTATACTTGTCTCTTAAGGAGTTCAAGACTGCGCAAAAGAGACAGAGTGATGACTGTATTGACGGGAGTTTAAAAACTCCGAAAGGTGAGTCAGGCACGGACAGATTTCCACATCAGGTCACAGTTCTGCCTCAGTTAACATCTGTCAGACACATCTCTTTCACCTTAACCCCAATTAATTCATCCTTAGTGTGAGATTTTAACTTTGGACCAACTGCTAAATTAAGTGAAAGCATGCTTCTAGAAGACAGGACGTATATTTTTACAACAGCAGGAAACCCAGAAGTTGCTCACCTGTGTTTTTGGTGTTTAACCTGTTAGTGCATAAATGACGTGTTATATAGCAGCCTCTAACCACAGGGGAGTTTTTTTGGCAGCCAGAAATGACTGTCAGCTTGTTGAAGCACAGCAACTTTGTGAGGCCAAGCTTCTTCGATGGGTACAAAATTAGGCTTTATTCTTGTTTGTCCAGAAAGCTACCCCCGTTTACCCCACTTCACAAGTCTGTGGGAGCAACTGTGCCAAAACTTAGTTCTGACAGGCCTCAGCACTGAAACCAGTGAGGAGTTTGGCAAGAGAACTTTCCAGTGGTTAGTTTTTGCAGTAGCAGCATTTTCAGTTTAATATTATTTACAGGAATTCTTAATCGCCCCCCACCAAAATCAATTTGATATGAGATTTATATTGCACACATAGTTTGTTGGGACTAATGGACATCCATTGTTATTGTGTTCTAGTATTGCACATGGTTTCTCATTCCAGTGATAATAGTTGAATTCACCTCATTAAACCATTTTAGTTGGTATTTCACTAATTTAAAGCTGTGTGAATTGTCTTTGTGAGATAAATAATAAGTAATAAAGGTAATGCTTCTCCTGGAAAAATGCTGCCCTAGGTATCCTATTGTTTTTGTGACAAAAAAACTTTGATTATGTGCTGTCTGATTATCAGAGTTCAGATTGGCTCATTTACACATTCAGCAGAGATCATGTGACAAATGCCTGGCCTTTTTTGCACATGCCCTGCACTGGAGCAAGCTTGCTGCAGAATTTTCTCCTGGAAAGTAATAATCCAGGGGCGCCCACAATTTTACATCTGGAGATTTATTTTCAAATGAGGAGCTCTATGAGATCTACCAATGAAAAAACACCTGCTTGCAGCATTTTTGCAGATCGCACTGGACCGTAACGCAGGCACCAATGTGCCTGCGTTTCGGGTGCGGGCAATTGCACTGTGGGGGGCGTGGCTGTGGTGCCATTGCCTTAAATGCACCGCCATGCCCCCTCCCGCCCCTTGAATGCAGGGAGCGAGCCAGCTTGCGTGGTGTGAACCAGCCCTCTCTCTTGGCTGTCTCTTCTCTCTCTCCCCTGTTTCTATCTGCTGTCTCTCTTCTCTCACTCTCTGCTGTCTCTCTTCTCTCACTCTCTTCTGTCTCTTCCCTCAATTTCTCTGCTTTCTTTCTCCTGTCCTTTTCTTAAGTCCACTGCAGGTCACCTCTCGTGCGCCAGCGTCCCGTCCTCCCACGGTGCTCGTGTGGCCGACGTTGCACATTGGGAGAGGTGTCCCTCCCCTTCACGTCTGCGGCTTCTGACACATTCAGCCGCACGAGCACCGCGGGAGGGCAGGACACAGGTCAGTGAGCCGATCTACAGGTGTTCGCTTTGCGATTGACTGGTAGATCGCGATCGACCTAACGGGCACCCTTGTAATAAGCCATTCTCTTTATCTTTTCCAAATCCATGAACTTGTATTTGCACTAACCTTTTTTGTATATGGATCTTATTTAAATAGGTCTTTAATTGCAGCTTCTCAGTGGAGCAATATTGCAAGGTCTTGCCCTAAAATTTCCTTATACTCATTGCTGATATTAAAATGATCTGTGACTCCACAGATGAAATCTGACCTAGCAGCCCTCTAACTATAATCATCAACCTTACCATGGTGTGACTGCCTTAAGCTGGCCATGCACTCTACGAATTTCGACCGGTTCTTGAGGAACCTGCTGAAATTCACACAGCTGGTGCCAATATCTGCACCCTTTCGACTGGCATACCTCGCTCAGCTGATCGAAGGAGACGGTAGGAAAATCTTCAAAAGAACAGACACAGCAGCCAACGAGCTGCTCGCCCTGTTCGGGTATTCTGACAGCAGCTGGCAGGCACAGCTAGAATGCAATGCAAACGGTGGGAGATTCCTCCATCAACGCTCTTTAAGTTTTGGAGGAATCCGTAATATTTTCTTTGTTCAACCCATAGGCTGAACTAAAACTATGACAGTGTATGGGCAGCTTTACATTCACATTGTGTTAGATAACCAGAATTGTAATGGAACCTGCTAAATCCTATTAGATTTGCTGTTAATTACTGCAAATACAGCAGAAACCGTGAAAGTGAGCACTGCAGTCATAGGTTATTTTCTGACATGCATTGAATAGTGGTTATATATGGCTGGTGAACAGAATATTGTGCGTTGATCATTTCTGAAAAATTAAATCTCTTTGCCTGTAGTCGGCCTTGTTTCTTTATGCTGATTAAAGAGGGCAGCTGTAGCAGCCTTTTTTTTTAATAAAAAAAAAACAAACAAATATTATAACGCCCTTAAAGGAGAAATATGAGGTGAATGAAAATCACTGAGCCACATAGTTCGAGCCGACCTGTGACTATTAAACTGTCACACGTCGGCTCAATAGATCGGAAAGTGAGCGAACCCATACCGTCGCTCGCTCACTTATCGATCCTGTCCCTGGAGAGAGCCGTGGCTGTCACGGCTCCCTGCAGGGATTCCCCCCTCCCTCTCCCATCCTCCAGCGCTGACTGGCAGAACGGACGGAGGGGGCGGGCACAGCTGGCTCTGCCTCTAGATATAGGTAGAGCCAGCTGTCAATCACGCAGCTGGGTGGATCTCGACAGTAATGTCGGGATCCGTCCGCACTGCGGCGGTCTCAGTATACCACGAGCTGCAGTTTGGGGTATACTGAGCTTTGGGTCACGGGAAGATGCTAGTTTGTGTCCTCCCGTGACCCTTAGAACTATGGGAGAATAGCACTGACCCCATAGTTCTCCTTTAATGCAGTTATGCGTCATAAAACTTAAAGGTTTCAAGCGATCAATACACCCCAGTAGAATTGGCCATAGTTTGAAATACAAGGTTAGGTTATTGTGTGCAACATTTATGCCTACAACTGTTTATTTAAAATCTCATTATATTTTGCCTTATTACATTGAATGTCTTTGCTGTTGTTCTTGTGTGCATTAGAGCCACAGCTGACCTGATTTACCCTTGGAGATCCCTACAGCCGAATGAGGAATACTCTCAACCAAGTTATTTGTCCTCATGTTTGGCTCACTATAAATAGCTAGGCCTGCAAGTCATAAATCAGTGCAAAGCTTCTGCCAACACCTATTACCATTTTAAGCACACTGGAATGTATGCATTATTTCAGGGGCTTCAGTAGTATTTACATACAAAGATTTATGGATCTCTTGCCAGCAAAATTGCATTACAAAGTGGAGCCACAAACAATCCCCTTGGTTACTATAACAAAGTGCAGACACTTGTCTGGTTCCCAAGTTTGCAGCAGTGATAATAGTGAGACGGTGGGGCTGGTCTTAAAGCGAAATATCAAAAGTATGCGTTTTGGTGTCAATTCCTATGAAGCATCTTCCCTAAACTAACCAGGTGTTTGCCAGTAAATCCTAATTAATTAACCTGCCTCAAATAAGAACTGTCTAACTTTTAGCAACCAATCAGATTTAATCTTTTTCTATTTTTCAGCTTTTGCTTTTTACAAGTCGTAATCCGGTTTAATTGGGATCATACAGACAGTTAACTGAGACTAGTTGATGTGTATAGTTCACTGTTTTTTTAAATACTAGTTATCCCTGCCCTTGATTAAATTATAACCTAGAAATTATTTATTTCTGTGTGAGCCTCTTATGTCCATCATTGCACTTTTGTCCATCAACACAACAATAGAATGGAGGAGATGAAGTTTGAACCCATGTGTTGAGCCTTATGGGTTGACCTTGAAGTGGGCCTAACATTTAAAAGCTCACTCAGTTAATTAACATGGTAAATGTCAATATTACAAAAAAAACATATTTTGAGTGAAAAGGTCCTAGCTTTTCATAAAAGTACTGCTCTGAGCTCCTTCATGTTCTAGCTTAGGCAAAGATCTAATGGTCTAATTTTAACAGGTGCATTGTTGGTGTTTGACATCACTGGAGACTCTAGTAAAGTTACCTCCACCTATGCTGTGGGTGCTTGCAGGAGAGGTTCTGGCTTCATGCACCATCTGCTGCATGTATTGCTAAATGCTGAAATTCCCAAATATGTAGACAATACACCAGGTAACAGAATTAGATATAGTTGCTTATTTTGCATGACTAGACCAGTTGGTTTGGTGGGCGTAAGATCAAGACACAGAGATCCTGAAGAACTCTAACTAGTATTAATTGTTTGTAACCCAAATTTGTAAGGGGATACTTGTGATCAGGATTCTGTAGGCTAGCATTTAGATTTATCAATTATGTATTATGGAGAATGTGATGTACTGGCCCTTTGCTATCTATTTGAATCCAATGGCTGGCTGTGAACACTTAACTTGGTGAGACAAGAAGTAATGCACAAAGACCCAAATCACTGCTAGAAGTCTGTAAGAAAGTGTAAAAATGGTGTGAAGGGCACTGGAGCAGAGGAAATACACATTGATGAAATTGTGGTGTGAGCAGATTGAGAGCAGGTTTTAGAGTAGAGACCTATGGTACAGATGGGCCAAATACTCAGGAAATTAGTAATTTATGAGGAAACTGAGGCTAAGCCTGTGTAAGAAGGCTAGTGGTTGTGCTTAAATTGCCAATGAGAGTCAGAGGTCTGAGTTTGAAACATTTTGTGTTGGTGAAATGGAATGTAAATTTGTTTGCAGTCTCTTTCAAGCCGGCAGGCACTAAAACAAACCATACTAGTTATCTATCGTTAGTTATATTCAACTGAACTTCTTTTTGTAATGTTGAAGACATCCACACGAGCCACTTTAATTTAATCACCATGGTGTGTGCTAAGGCAGATGTTGATTGTCTAAAAATA